ATTCTTGCAAAATGAATTAAATAATTGTCGGATTAAACTTCCAGGAACTATTCACAATTGAATTAAATTATTTTTAATTATTTTTTTTTAGAAAATCTTAAATTTTTACATATGTTACCATACCACACACACTTCCACAGATTTAATTTCATGAAATTTCAAGGAATTAATTTCATTCCGAAAATTTCTTGCTCTTAATCATCACTTTCTTTTTCAGACTACAGTACATTTCCCGAAAATCTGCTCCGAATTTTAAAATAAAAATAAGCAATAAAACTATGACATTATTTAATTACAACTGCGGTTAATTACTTTTATAATTAAGACTAGCAGCATGGCCCGGCGTTGTCCGTGCTTGATCGTACGACTCATACAGCAATCGCTATCACTTGACTTAAAATATTTTTGCACTTCCTTGCCTTTAAAGGAGTGCCCTATACCATGCTGATGTTGCTACATGCCTTACTTCTTGCCTATCTCACACTGCTAATTTTTTCGAAGTTCTATATTAAACATTAAATTTGTTACGAAAAAAGAACTAAAGAAAATGTACACAAAACGATCAGCTTTAAAAAAGGACTCGTAAGTGGAAAAGCCGAATGAAAAAAGAATGTTAACAACAAATACTTTTTAACACCCAACCCAGTTCTGTCGAATCAGAATCAACGTTGAGTTTAAGCAAGCAAATGAGTCAATTGGAGTAAAGTGCTATGCAGATTAAAATTTTTCCCACTTGTGACGAATGCAGCTATCGATTTATTTTTGCATGTTAGCATGCTAGTTATCATTCGTGTCAGTAAGCTGTTGGCTCTCACGCTGGCCAATAGAATCTTCCTGCCTATCCGTGGTAGCCAGCTATAGGCTCTCACTCTGGCCAGTAGAAAATGGCCGCAAACTACATGAAAACTGCCGTAGAAGCCTGAGAAAGTCGATTATTACCACTATCGATGGGAGTTGGGAAATGTAAAGCCAGTCTTAGCTTTCCCGCTAACTTGGAGCATGTGCATGTAAATTTTGGTGCAAATCCGTCGAAAATTGCGTCCGTATATTCGTTACACACACACACACACACACACATCCTGCCTTTTATAGATAGAGATAACAATTTTCAATGAATTTTTACAAAAATTGTTTTCTTTTTTTACATTTTAATTATAATAAGTTATAATATATAAACCTTGCTGCATTACTTTCAGTCGGTTAGGTGATATTGATAAGTGAAAATATACTATATTTACTAATCCAAAATTGAAAAGCTGAATACAAAGTATTTTGCAGCAAGAATTTTAAAATATTTTTATGCATATAATATATTACGTAACGCGCCTCTGTTTGAAAATATGGTCGACCATACACGCCATAATCAGCAAATAAGAGTGATAACTATAATAAATTTAAATTAAACATTCCTAAAATTAGATTACAGAGAATGTTTTCCAACATTTGTAAGATTACTGAGTACTTAAAAAATTATATAAGAAAGCGTTCACTCGTCATTTTCTTAAATTATGTTTAACAGATAAGGTTTCCGTAAAAAAACATTATTGGTATTGACACATTTTAAGATCAGTTGTTAAGTGATCTATGAGTAAAAAGTGACGGTGATAAACGCGTAATCACCGCTACTGTTTGTTTTATAAAGCCATTTCTTTGTTATTTATTTTAAACAAAAAGTAAATAACAGTTTTTCAAATCAGATTAATTATCCTTTAAATCAGCTAATATTCCTCAAATAAAGTTACAAACAAGTACATTTTATTTTTGGAAGATTTTTAAAACTGATAATTAAATTTTGTTTACAAATGTGTCAAAAATTGCCGATATTTATCGATTTTCTGAAAGCGACTAAAAAGAGGAGATTCCAATCAATATTATTTATATTTGAAATAAACCAATGTATTTTGCTTATTGGAAATAGTAACTTTAGTCTTCAAATAAAACTAAAATGAAAACTTCAAGAAAGTTTGATCATTGGTAAAAATTCATTTAAAATTTTCTAAAAATTCATTTAAGGTATAGTGTTTTAAATTTTTAAGAATTAATTTGAGGTATCGAAACTCAGTTGAGGCACCTATATATATATATATATATATATATATATATATATATATATATATATATATATATATATATATATATATATTGCAGGAATAGATACAAATTATTTCCTAAAGGCATTATGAAAAATAAAAATAAGAGATGATAACACTTACAGAACAGACCAACCGGTTTCGTTCCCAAGCTCATCAGGGTCGACTGGGAACAATTTAACAATTATTGCAATATATATTAATTCACACAAACACCCTACATAAAATTAAAACATTCAAAAATGAAATGATTAATGGTATGAGGGGGAAAAATGGGGAGTGTGAGGGGAATGTATAATACACACTGGAATCTAATAACGTGAAGCCCAAAGAGACAGTCTTTTTGCTTGCAAAGAGACGGCTGCCTGGACCGAATATACAGAGACTCAAATGCCCGCAAATGAAATGGAGAGTGCGAACTGCACAGCACAGTAAACCAATTCGGACTGAAATTCCGAAATTCTGAAATATATATATATATATATATATATATATATATACATATAAATATAGATAACTAGACTCGCTTCGAAAAAACCCCGAATTTTTGATTTGCTAATAATCAAATCAATTTCGAGGGGAAAAAGGTTTTAAAAAAAAGAAAGAGCTACAAACATGAACTTCTGCCGACAAAAAAATCGCACAGATGCAGGTCTGAAGCCCAAAGAAAAAACCCCGATACGAGTAACAACTAACTAACAAAAGAGCTCAATACAACCGTAGAGCAGACCTAGATACACCTAGTGAGCCAGACAAACCTACCTAGGTTTCACCTAAACGGATCATCTGTTTAGCCTGACTTTCCTGACGATTTGTCGTTTACTAAATATATATATATATATATATATATATATATATATATATATATATATATATATATATATATATATATATATATATATATATATATATATATATATATATATATATATATATATATATATATATATATATATATATATATATATATATATATATATATATAGTTTGTGTGTGTGTGTTGGGGGAGATACCTGTCACTAAGAATGCCGTTGGCACATGTAATACAGCGCATTTCTTCACAATAATGTAGTTATTAATGAAATCCTTCATTTTTAGGAATGAAAAAAAAAATTAGGATATTTATTTTTTTTTTTCTTCTTCTTCATCGTTCCATGGTTTTCTGTATCCAGGCAATACTATAATTTTTTTTCCTCGCTTCACATTTGTTATCAGCGACAAAAAGACGAGATTCACAGTTGCAGACTATTTTAGTTAATTTATTTCTTTTCTTTACATTTTATTATATTTTTTATTTTTTATTTTATTTTTATTTTTATTTTTTGGCTTTCCTTGGAACTTAAATAACTTAAACCGGTGAGGGAAAACAAAAAAAAAAAAAAAAAAGGCGTGCAAAGTAAATGCCTTTCTTTTACATTTGCCTGTAAATGAGCTATCTTTCTATCTTTGTGACAAAATCGTGACGAACAACCATGGCTAGGACAACAATAAAAACAACAATCACCTGGGGCAGCAGCGTGAAATGGTGTCCCTCACCCCATAATACTTTACTCTACCCACCTCTTTAGGAAGAGAAATGAAAGCAGAGGCAATCAGTTTAACTTTCAAAAGGATCTAAAATTTATATATATATATATATATATATATATATATATATATATATATATATATATATATATATATATGTATGTATGTATGTATATATTCATTCAATATATATATATTTATGCAATATATTTAAACATATATACATGCAATATATATTCATGCAATATATATATATATATATGTTCATACAATATATATATATTCATGCAATATATATATATATATATATATATATATATATATATATATATATATATATAATATAAATATATATGAAATATATTTTGAAAAGTATCTGCAATGTTTAAATATTTCCTGCTAGCTCAGAACTTCATTTATGTTTTTCTATCTATCTATATCTATCTATCTATCTATCTATCTATCCTATCTATCTATCACACACATACACACACACACACATATATATATAAAAAATGCATATATATATATATATATATATATATATATATATATATATATATATATATATATGCAATTTATATATATATGTTATTTATATATTATATATTCTCGGTACTTATTGGAAAGCGCTCAATATCAGTGATAAAACTAACATATTTAGTTGGATTGGTGCGAGTTTGTGACTCTGAGTTTGTGACCGTCAGACAAATAGCGTGAAACCCATGGTCAAAAACTCAATATCAACCCAACTGCGTATATATATATATATATATATATATATATATGTGTGTGTGTGTGTGTGTGTGTGTGTGTGTGTTATTATACATTGTGTGTGTAACTATACATACGTATATGTATTAAGTACACGCATGTATATGCAAAACATATATATTTTTTTTTAAGAATAGACATTAAAACATGCTACTGAAGATAAACCAGTGTTTTGTTTTCTCAAATAGCGTTAAATTTATTTAACTTGACGTAAAATCTTATTTTGCAATTGAGTTACGGATTTTTTTTCTCTACACCGACACATGTGTTTGTTCAACTGCATGACCGTTTATTTAGACACACGTTTTAGAGACGAACATAAATGAAGAGACGTCACGCAAAAAGGATTTGTTTTATTGTTATTTGCAGAAATTTTCATTAAAAATATCATAAGCTAACTTTTGTGGGATGAATGGTGCGAACGACAAGTAATACGCATGCGCATCGAACAAGTTCGATTGGCATTACGAGTCCAGCGTTTTCTAAGCTGTCCTTTGCTTCCTACGGGATAATACGAGATTCGCAAATAACTCACTGGCAGCCGTAACATTTGCGACTAAATCGGTGTCAAAAGGTAGTAAGAAATTGAAAAATTCACTGAAGTGAAACATGACTGCTCACGTTTACTTCTTTTTTCTTCTTCTTTTCTTCTTCTTCTTTTTGTTTTTTTGTTTTATTTTATCCTCCATTTTGTTGTTTTTCTTCTTGTTCCGTTCTATCTTCCAATCCTTCTTATTTTCTTTCTCTTCTTCTTGCTCTTCTCACCCTTATTTTCTTTTTTCTTTTTCTTCTTCTCTCTCTTTTTTCTTGTCTTCCTCCTTTTCTTTTCTTCCTCTTCTTCTTTTTCTTCTTTTCTAACTCTTTTCTTTTCTTTTTAATTAGCCTCCTTCTTGTTTCATTGCTCTTGTACATCGTTTCTTCCTCCTTTTCTTTTCTTCCTCTTCTTCTTCATAATTTTACTTCTTCTTTATCCTTTTCATATTCTTATTATCTTCTTCCTCATTTCCTCTTCTTCTTTTCTTCTTATTCCGTTTCTTCTTCTTCTTCTTCTTCTTCTTTTCTTTTTCTTCTTCTTAACCCCTGTTCTGCCAACCATTTATCCTTTTCTTCTTCTTGTCCTCCTCTTTCATCTTCTTTTCTTCTTCCTCCTCCTTTCCTTCTTCTTTATCCTTTTTCAACCCCTTTGTTCTCCAACTAACCCCTGTTTTGCCAACCATTTACAGCCTCACATCCTCCTCCTTCCTTCTTCCTCCTCCTCCTCTTCTTCTTCTTCTTCTTCCTCCTCTTCTTCTTCTTCTTCTTCTTCCTCCTCCCTTCTTCTTCATCTTCCTCCTCCTCCTCCTTCTTCTTCTTCTTCCTTTTCTCTTCCTTTCCCTTTGTCTTTTCTTCTTCTTTATCCTTTTTATCTTCTTATTCTCCCTTTCTTCTTCTTCTTCTTCATCCTCAACCCCTGTTCTGCCTCCTCCTTTTTTCAGAAACACTTCTTCTTCTTTCTTCTTCTTCTTCCTCCTCCTCCTTCTTTTCTTTTTTCTTCTTGTTCTCCTCCTCCTCCTACCTCTCCTAACCCTTGTTCTTCCTCCATTTCCTCCTCTTCTTCATCTTCTTCTTCTTCCTCCCCTCCTCCTTTTTCTTCTTCTTTTCCTTTCCTTTTTCATCTTCTTTTCTTCCCTTCTCCTCTTTTCTTTCTAGCCTCTCCTAACCCCTGTTCTTCCTCCATTTACAGAAACACCTCCTTCCTTCTTCTTCTTCTTCATCCTTCTTCATCCTCATCTTCTTCCTCCTCCTCTCCTCCTCCTTCTTCTTCTTCTTCTTCTTCTCCTCATCTTCTTCTTTTCCTTCTTCCACCTCCTCCTCCTTTCCTTCTTCTTTATCCTTTTTATCTTCTTGTTCTCCCCTTTGTCTTTCTAGCTACCTCTCCTAACCCCTTCCTCCTTCCTCCTTCCCCTCTTCTTCTTCTTCTTCCTTCACAGAAACCCCTCCTCCTCCTCCTCCTTCTTCTTCTTCTTCTTCTTCTTTTCCTTCTTCTTCTTCCTCCTCCTCCTTCTTTATCCTTTTTATCTTCTTGTTCTCCTCTTTCTAGCTACCTCTCCTAACCCCTGTTCTGCCAACCATTTACAGAAACACATCCTCCTCCTTCTTCTTCTTCTTCCTCCTCCTCCTCCTCTTCATCTTCTTCTTCTTCTTCCTCCTCCTTTCCTTCTTCTTCTTTATCCTTTTTATCTTCTTATTCTCCTCTTTGTCTTTCTAGCTACCTCTCCCAACCCCTGTTCTGCCAACCATTTACAGAAACACCTCCTCCTTCTTCTTCTTCTTCATCCTCCTCCTCCTCTTCTTCTTCTTCCTCCTCCTCCTCCTCCTCTTCTTCTTCTTCCTCCTCCTCCTCCTCTTCTTCATCTTCTTCTTCCACCTCCTCCTCCTTTTCTTCTTCTTTATCCTTTTAATCTTCTTGTTCTCCTCTTTGTCTTTCTAGCTACCTCTCCTAACCCCTGTTCTGCCAACCATTTACAGAAACACGTCCTCCTCCTACTCCTCCTTCTTCTTCTTCTTCTTCTTCTTCAAAATGGCTTTCGCTGGTATTTGAATAAATTTATTCGTAATTACGGTAAAAATATATGTTTTTATTTCAATTTGAGAGATCCCATAACAGCATGGATTTTTGAAAAGAAATTCTTCAAAATTCTAATAATTTAAAATATGAGAAAGGCAACAATATATTCCACAATTGCTTATACACATATTAAGAAATGGAAAGTGTCGACATCAGCAGCTTCATAGTTGCCGACGCAGAAAAAGGAATCGGTGTACCGAGTTCAAATTCCGACCTCGACTTCTTTATTCACTTTCGCACTGATTATCCTGGAAAAGGCATAAACCTATGTTTTCTCAGTCCCTAACTATGGATTAAACAGCAGCGTAAATTTAGTTATCATCCTTGGTTGGAATTCAGTGTAGGAGAAGAAAAATTTGATTACACTTCGTGGAGAAGTTAAACTAAACTAAATCTTTGCCAAGTTGTCGTATTAATTCATACATAAAAAAAACAAACCGATATGCGTCCTAAAAAGCCATGCTATTAAAAATAGAGAGAGAGAAAAAATAGAGAAATACTGGTCATCACTTTACAAGCCGATTATTAGAATATTCTAGGAGTAGAACAGGGTTGGTTTGCTTTGTTTTACGGCATATCAACCTCAATGGGTTATTTAACGCCGACAAGATTTTTATTGCTGTTAATATTTTTTTTCAAAAAGAATATCTGGGAATATTATTTTTCCTAAAATGTATTGCTGGTAATATATTTTTTTTCAAAAATATTTTTTTTTTTCAAAAATGTATTGCTGATAATATTTTTTTTTCAAAAATGTATTGCTGGTAATATTTTTTTTTCAAAAATATATGGCTGGTAACATTTTTTTTCAAAAATGTATTACTGGTAATTAATTTTTTTTTCAAAATAATTTTTTTTTTTCAAAAATGTATTACTGGTAATATATATTTTTTTCAAAAATGTATTGCTGGTAATATTTTTTTCAAAAATGTATTGCTATTAAATTCTTTTCAAAAATGTATTGCTGGTAATATTTTTTTTCAAGAATATAGTGCTGGTAATATTTTTTTTCAAAAATGTATGGCTGGTATTGTTTTTTTTTCAAAAATTTATTGCTGGTAATATATTTTTTTCAAAAATGTATTGCTGGCAATATTTTTTTTCCAAATCTTTATTGCTCGTAATAATTTTTTACAAAAATGTATTGTTGGAATTAAAATCTATTTTTTTCACTTTCATAGTGTTTTGAGTCCAGTTTGCTAGGATCCTACCAGGTACTATAACCCCGGGTCAGAATGAACCTGGGAACACCAGCAATTAAGAAGTGGTTCCACGATCCTGAAAAACCCTGATCAGAAGCCTTGATGTTGGACGTAGTTTATCGTCTTACCCAAGACGCCGGGTGTAGTTTATCGTCTTACTCAGGACGGGGACGTGTTTGGAGGTTAATTATTTGCCCATAGCTGGGACTCTAACAGGTGCTACCAACGCGGATCTGGGTGGACCTGGGAACACCAGCAATTAAGAAGTGTTTCCATGCTCCTCAAAACCTCCTGATCAAAGGCCTTGCCGTCGGATGTAGTTTATAGATTTGCCAAGGACACGATCTAGTTTATCGTTATACACGGGACGGGTATGTAGTTTATTGTCTTACCCAAGACGGGGAGAACCCGGGGTAGAAAACAATTAAAGAATATGAAAGTAAATGCTTGTCAAATATTTAAATTATAAATATGGAAGGCAGATATGCATCTCTCAGAAATTTGAGCATCTTTGTGCCGCCTCAACTGTAATTTTATATATATATATATATATATATATATATATATATATATATATATATGTATATATATGTATGTATGTATTATAAATTCACTAATTTAATATATATATATATAATTTACTAATTTAATGTGACACGTCGCCAATTTAGTAATGCGCTTAATTTTTTTGAAAAAATTCTAAATGCCATAGCGAAGAGCTCATCACCATTGCGGCGGGAAAGTGACTGAAGCCGAGATGACAGATCGGGATCGATAATATTGCAAATTATTCTTTAGATTTTATCAAGGAGCTCAAGGTAAACAGCAGGGGCACAGACCCATATATGGCAGCAATATTCTAAGCATGGACTGTTGACCATGTTCACCATAGTCTATGAATATAGAATACAGCGCAGTACGTAATCTGTTCAATGAAACAACGTTAAAGATTAATACTCTCGAGTCAGATATTTTACTGAATCAGACTATATCGCCAATACCACCAGCAGCTGTTCAGTAATTCTTCAGCCAGTCTAGAAGTGAACTTAAATTCAAAAACTCTAGGTACCACAGTCGAGGTAGTTCATGTCAATTGAGAACGTTAAGCCGAAACGGCGAAACAAGTCATTTTCCTGGAGGTTAGCATCAGCCATGCTGATTAAAGGAAGAAGTTATGGAGAGACATGATAGTCCACGTCCTGAAATGACAGAATTCATAAAAGAAAAATAAATCTTGGGTATGGATAGATTTTATTTTTTACGGTGTATCAACCTTTTTCCAGTCTAAAGACAGAAAATATATTTAGATATTTTTAAAAAAGTTTTGGAGAGGGTAATGATTTTACTGATACTAGTTCTACTAATTAACCCATAGTTGGGGGGAGAAATAGAATCATCAATTTCTTAAAGATATTCGCACGTAAGGAGAATATAACGAACCCAACTGGAATTAGAACTAGGCTCTTTGATTTCTCATTTTATTACACCACCCGCACATCGAATCTTAGTGAACTTAATATTTCCAAACGGTCATCCATGTGGTACTGACTAGTCCTGACGTTGCTTAACTTCGACGATCGTAGGGGAAGCGGTGTTTCAATATGATATAGCTGTAAACAAGGATTTTAAGCTTCTCGGCTTGTCGGTTGAACTTTCTGCCTCTGAGCAGAGAGGAACCCGGACGAGGCTCCGCCGAAGGGCAGAGTCTCGTTCGGGGAGAATGACCAACCCGATCTCGTTTATTCGGGTTTTACGGGCATTTTTTGGCCGAGCCTACGGGCTCGGGAAACCCACGATAAACTCGGCCTTGTGCCACATGCAACCCTCGTGGGGGGGTGGCTAGATACCAAACAAGGATTTTACAAGCTTTGACTGCTTTCTACTTATGTCTTTTATTATGAGAGGATGTGTAGGTCCGTGTGTCATTTGCATAAATTTTCATGTAACATAGGATAAATGTGTAACGTATGTACAAAAAAACGTACCAAAATCCGGTTTCTCGAACACGTCTTTTCACTTGATAAGGCACCCAGTAGGCGTAGTGGCTGTCGAATACGCCAGCGTATAAGGAAGACAACGAAAATCGATTATCTTATAGTCGCTAATGTCAAGAATAACCATTTCAGAAAAGTTTACCAGTTGTTCACCAAAAACTTACATGTTTTCACAAACAGGAAAATGTACATGTCAGCAACTGTATTTCGTTACAAGAGATTTTCGGATTTTTGATGAAAATAACTCCGAAGAATATGGCTGGAGATTTTCAGTTAACAATATCAAAATGCAGTACTGGACAAATGTTTGTCTATATTTCTGAGATGAGGTATTATGTACATTATTGTCCTCATCTATGTCACCATACAACGTTTCGGCCTTTCAGTATCTATCTATATTTCTGAGATGAGGTATTATGCACAGTATTTACATTATTAGGACTATTGTCCTCATCGCCATATTTATCACAACGTTTCGGCCGTTGTACGCTCCGGCCTTCTTCAGGTGGTTGGAATTTCGAACTGAACCCTTTATTTCGCTCACTGGGGTAGACTGTTCTAGTTCCACGTGCCATGTTTGATGGATGTCAGTTATCAGTTATCTCCTGCTAATTTCCCTCTGAAAGTTCTCCACTGCCTTAACCGGGTATTGAACTCACACACTTTGGGTCCTGTCACTGGATCTAACCAACGCCTTTATCCACTGTGCCATGTGTCCTTGAGTTCGAAATTCCAACCACCTGAAGAAGGCCGAAGCGACAACGGCCGAAACGTTTTGATAAATATGGCGACAAAAATGAGGACAATAGTCCGAATAATGTAAATAATGGACAAATGTTGCTTTTTGACATCATAACACGATATTAAAGCAAGATACATCAATTTACGCATGCACCTTTGTGTAAATCAATTGAAACAACCGCTTAAGTTTTCTTTCTTTCACGTTTACGCTCAGCTTTGGGTCCACTGGAGTGAAAGAGTTTAATAGATTTCTAATTTTCTCCAGATTCAGGTCATTTGCAGTGGATTACAGTAATATGAATCTATTTTCGGGTGTATGATGAAATTTGTTTGGTCTTGGATAGCACTACGTCTATCTGTGATAGCACCAGCATTTCATCACGCCCAGACAAAATAGTCTCGACTGTCCATTAGATGTCGTAAGGCCAGTGTCTGCGATGGACGTTACTCCAAGAAAGCATACGAAAAATGTAACACTGCACCAACACACTGGCAAACTTTACCGGTGAGCAAATCAAATTACTATAGGCTGAGCCGGAAACTCTGCT